CATCTCTCACTAATTTAATATGCTCGTTATAGTTGGCCCTGTCTTTCTAAATCTTAATTTTATAATATCACACGAGCCTTGTCTTTAAATATCTAATTGTTTTCCTTATTAAAATTAATTATTGTTCCGGAACCGTTGAAAATAATTGAGAGTCTCCGCGAAAAGTTTAAATGTCGCGCGATCAAATATATTGAGAACCATAAATCGTCGCATTAGCGAATCACGAATTTCCACGCGACCGAGGCATAGCGCGTAGCCGATCCTTCTCACACCTCTTTGCAATTCGCATTCGCGGTCCTTTTTCGCCAACTCAAGTGCGCGGTGTATCGATTAGGATCTGTCGCGCACCCCCGATCATGCCTATCTGAGTCGCTAATATCCTTCCTCGTTTCCCGTTCCTTCTTCTTGTTCCGGCTCTCAGTGTATTAACACATTGCCTCGTTATTGGAGATTCGTATCACGCGTGGTTCACATAATCCTTCGAGTCACGAAAGTGATTCTTTTCCGCCGGTCATCGGCAAAAATTTGTAGAATATTGGGCAAGCGATATTTTCCATTATTTCAGTTTTATTTGTGAAATACATGCATAGCTCGGCTGCAATTACGACCGCATGTATCACCACGTGCTCCGATATTACAGTGTTCCGGAGACTCTCAGAGACCTCGATTTCGCGAACGGTGCATCGCGCATCCGCGTTCGGCTCTTGATCGCTGCGATCTTTGTAAAAATTATCGCGAGAAGATTTCCGTCGAGTACGCGCGCAGCAATTACGATCAAGCACAAGATGTCCGTCCGTTCTCGTTAAAATTTTTGTCCACCGTTCGCCAAGTGTGTTTAATTCGAACTCGAAACTTTAGTTTTTTTTGTGAAAGATCGACAACTTTAGTTTTTTTTGTGAAAGATCGAATAAACCTTTTTTTAACCATATTCTCAGCTGTTAACAATCAACCCCTTCTTCCCTCTATTCCCGATCAAAATTAATTTAATCAGTGCATTCCGCAACAATTATTAATTAAATAAATGATTTATAATAAATTTATAATAGTTATTAAATATATTCTAATTAATAAAATATTTATATATTTTATATAAATATTAACCTTATATTATTATAACATTTTATTATAACATATTATACATTTATTATTTTATACCATACCTAGATATACCTAAATATACCATATTATCTAATTACTAAAATAATTTCTTTTTTAATTACAGTTTACAGAGGAAGACGCGCCGGAGTTCGCGTCCAGGAGGAGCGCTTTATGCGCTTCCTCCTTAAACTGTCCTCGCCCCATTATTATTGGGGCAACAGGCCGAGGAGGGGCGGACGAGGACGGGGACGGCGAAACGCCGAATAGTATATAATAATATATAATATGATACATTATATACATAAATAAATATACATATATATACATTCTTCATTTTATTTAAATAAAAACCCTATAGATAAAACTTTATAACCCTAACATATTATGAATTGTTAAATAAATCGCAAAACATTATTCATACTATAATTATTTGGTGAATAACATTATTGATAATAATAAGAGAAATAATAGAAAATGGTATTGTGATTGTGATTGAAACAAACATTCTTTCTAAACAGAGTTCGATTATAGTATAAGTTTCTTGATTTAAAATGTGCTATATTTAAATCATTTAATTATTTTTTTCGTTCAAGTACATTTAACAGCAAAAACTGCATATACGTAGGTATGTATTTAACTCTACTGCCATTACTTGAAACAAATACATTATTCGATATTACCAAATTGGAACTCTGGAATTACGAGTAATTATTTTTCATTGTACAGACTAGGTTTAAATTTTTGAAGACCTTCTTTTGAACATGGCTTGACCTTTTCATTTTTATGATTTTTTGGAGATAGGGTGAGAGAGGACGAATGAGGGTAAGAGAAGACGAGATAGGCGAAAGAGGGTGAAAGAGGACGAAATTGGGTGAAAGAGGGCGAAAGAGGACGAAAGAGGACGAAAGAGGGTGAAAGAGGACGAAAGAGGGTGAAAGAGGATGAGAGAGAATGAAAGAGAGTGAAAGAGGACGAAAGAGGGTGAGAGAGGGCGAAAGAGGGTGAAAGAGGACGAAAGAGGGTGAAAGAAAGGACGAAAGAGAGTGAAAGAGGACGAAAGGGGGTGAGAGGGAATGAAAGAGGGTGAAAGAGGGTGAGAGGGAATGAAAGAGGGTGAGAGAGGACGAAAGAGGGTGAAAGAGGCGAAAGATGGTGAAAGAGAACGAAAGAGGGTGAAAGAGGGCGAAAGAGGACGAAAGAGGACGAAAGAGGATGAAAGAGGGCGAAAGAGGGTGAAAGAGGACGAAAGAGGGTGAAAGAGGACGAAAGAGGGTGAAAGAGGGTGAGAGAGGACGAAAGAGAGTGAGAGAGGATGAAAGAGGGTGAAAGAGGCGAAAAAGGGGTGGGAGTGGGTGCGGGGGTGGGGGCGGGGGCGGGATGTGGGAGGGAAAGGGGTGTGGAAGTTGAGGGAGGTGTGAGTAAAAGGTGAGAAGAGATTTATATATATATATATATATATATCCTGATGACGTCAGCGGACGCGGACAGAGAAGAAGAAGAAGAAGAAGAAGAAGAAGAAGAAGAAGAAGAAGAAGAAGACGACGTTACTTCATTTTTCATGAAAAACGTCACTTTTTGACCGCTTGTATCTCCAGAACGGCTTGACCGATTTTATTTTTTCTTGACTCAAATTACTCGTGGCGATGCCGCTTTTTAGGTTATATTACGTGCAATTCAAAATTTTTTATATTTTAGTAGTTCTACACCCCCAAAAAATGGACTTTGATGGTGCAGGATAAGGAGACTTGTAGTGTCTTTTAAGGTCTCTTAGGGTTTGAACATGGCCGGAGACACTACCGCGTCTCCTAATATAATAATAATAAAATATAATGATAAAAATAATATAAAATCAAAAATATATATATATATGTATATATATATATCTACACTGGCAGATCCATAATGGAGACCATGGGGGCCCTTCCACTTAGAGTTTCCTTTTTCAAAAGTATTTATAAAGAAATGTTATATTTAATATTTGCGAAATGCTTAATCACAATTTTTATTCCAATCATATTTTTTAATTTAAGACACGTTTAGATATAAAAAAAAAAATTCATATTTGATCTGAAAAAAAATTTTATTTGCGGCGAATCAAAACCTCCTTAACAAATTTCTGGATCCGCCACTACATATTTATCTATAATATATACCCAGTAAACACTGTTATATTAATGTTATTTAATTTATTTCATTCTTTGAATCCTTTGTTAGGATTATAGGTCAGAAATTAAATTAACAAAGAAAATATATACTTTGAATCTTATATTAGTATTCATTCCTTATATGCATTTCATGGGGAAAATTTGAATACGAAATATTAAGTCTGGTTTCGCCGCGTAACGGCAAACAAAAAATAAAATAAATAACATTGTAACATCATATTTATGTAAAAATATATATTTATGTAAGAACCCAGTAAACACAAAGTAACAGTAACATAACATTAATGGTACAATTTCCTATTCAACAATATAACTGTTATGTACAAAGCATGTTACATTGCAGTTAGATTGTTGAGTAGGAAATTACATCATTAATGTTATATTACTGTTATTTTGTGTTTACTGAAAATAATTTATATAAGAAGCATATTTCATATATAAACTATTAACGTAACAACTATTACATTACTTATTACTCTAAATAACAACTGTTTAGTGGGTATATATATATAGTATATACATATATTTAGACGTTTTAAATGTATATAACTTACTTTTTTAGACTTTTCTTATTCTGCTTATTTTTCTAATTCCAAATCCTAATCTATTTCTAAATTTCTTATTTTGAATCTCATTTTTCATTTGAAGAAACGAATGTTATTTACTATCACAAGTAAATGAAATTTCAATATAATAATAAAATATAATAATATATAATATTATATATATAATATAATATAATGTATTATAATCTCATTATAATTTTATAATAATTTTAAATAACATTATATATATTATTTTGTTATAATTACAACATTATATGTAATATCCCAGCAAATACAAAATAACAATTGTATAATATTAAATTATAATTTTCCATTCAAGAATATAAGTATTATATAACACTTATATAGAAGAAGAATATAAGAATACAAGAATATAAGTGTTATATAACATGCTTATATAATATTGTTATATTATTATAAAATTATAACTTAATATTATATAATTATTACTTTGTGTTTGCTGGGATATACATATATTGTTATGATAAAATATATAATAATGTATATAATGTAATAATATACATATATAATATAATATAATAAACTCAGAAATAAATATTTTATCGGCTCTCAATATAAATATATAAGTATGCTGTCTTCTAAGCTGGGCAATAGAGCCAAGGAAACAAACGAAAAATAATTAAACGGAACTGTATCTCAATTCGAGATCCCAAAGTTCCACATATAAATTAATTTCGAAACTTACATATGGAGAAATAAGCGAGAAAAATATAGGTCCGAAAAGTCGCTGAAGCGGGAATCGAACCCGCGTCTTTCACTTTCCGGGCGACTGCTCTTACCAACTAAGCTATTCAGACCCTTTCGATCCTATATTTTTCATTTGCCTTTTTAGTAGATGTTAGTAAATACCGCCGTGATTAGAAGGCGTGAATAAACTCAGAAATAAATATTTTATCGGCTCTCAATATAAATAATATAAGTATGCTGTCTTCTAAGCTGGGCATAAGGAAACGAAACGAAAAATTAATTAAACGGAACTGTATCTCAATTCGTTTCCTTGGCTCTATTGCCCAGCTTAGAAGACAGCATACTTATATTATTTATATTGAGAGCCGATAAAAATATTTATTTCTGAGTTTATTTTGGGCTAATCACGGCGGTATTTACTAACATCTACTAAAAAGGCAAATGAAAAATATAGGATCGAAAGGGTTGAATAGCTTAGTTGGTAAGAGCAGTCGCCCGGAAAGTGAAAGACGCGGGTTCGATTCCCGCTTCAGCGACTTTTCGGATATATTTTCTCGCTTATTTCTCCATATGTAAGTTTCGAAATTAATTTATATGTGGAACTTTGGGATCTCAAATAGATACAGTTCCGTTTAATTAATTTTTCGTTTCGTTTCCTTGGCTCTACTTAGAAGACAGCATACTTATATTATAATATAATAATATATAACAATATAATATAATAATAATAATATATATAATGTAAAAATATATTATTTTCTTACAGACTCAAGAAAAAAAAATTTCGATGTAATCAAATATTTACATCTCCATGATTATTATTTATTCATACATTACATATTCTTTAAGTTCGTAATTAGTTCTAAAAATTTTAGTTCTAAAAATTTTAAATATAATTCTTGAAATGTATAATTTAATATTTTTACGATTAAAGATTGATTATTAATTATTGATTATTAATTTTATTTATATTTATATTTTTATTAATTTTATTTGTTCATTTTATTTTATTTTAATAAAATTTAAACGTTTAAATTTTATTATACAATTATATAATTAAATAATAAATAACCATTATATAATGCAATAAATTATTAAGAAATAATTATTATAATTGGATTATATAATAAAATTTGGATGTCTAAATTTGATCAAATATTTCGTTCACTAAAAAACATATCTTTTGCCAAGAAATTATTGGAAATACCTTATGGAATATTCTCGTTATTTTGAGATCGTGTTCAAATCTCAATTCCCTCATATTTTTGAAACATATAAAGAACAGAAAAAAAATGTTATTGTAAAACATCAAATGGATATTGTTTTCCTAGCTTTCTTCAACAACTCAAGTAGAGACTTATTACTCTTTATATAATCCAATTCCTGTTATAAAAATATAACATTCATAGAATAAAACTCTCATAGATGTAGAAGTGAGAGCAAAAAATAGAATGTATTCATTATATTAATATCTTATCATGTATCACAGTCTGGAATTACAATAAAAGGACGTGAATAATTTTTAAATGTTGCATCTCTTGCTTCTTCAATAATTTGAAGATTTGATCAAGTAGAAATACATTAGTATCTACAACAATATATATAGTAGACTCTTCTTATGTAACTCTGCTCTATTATGATGTATTAATTCTAAAATATTTCCCGATATACAATTTGTCTCAATATGATTCAGGTTTCTCCCTAATTGTGTTCTAACAACTTCAACCTATATTAAATATATTAAATGAAAAATTATATTGTTTTCACTATTATTGTATAGATAAGATATATACATAAAACACACAATAGATTCCTAATTAATATAAATTTTAAAAAATGAGTAAAAAATATAAAATATTTGAGATTACTAAAACACACAGTTAAAATAAGATAATTCTCTATGATACATAAATACACAAATTAATTAATGTTTTAATTATATTGATAATACCTCTTGTGCAATGGCTTCATCATTCATTGGTTCCCAATCCATGTGTTGCGTGCGTGCGCGTCTCGTGTCGAGCGCGTGTGTCAACGCACCTTCTTTATAATTTAATTAATTTATAAATTAGTACAGTTATAATTTTTAATAAATTTATAAATTAATTTATACATTAATAAATTTATAAATTAATAATTTAATATGAGATATATAAATATGTATATCACGAAAATATAAAATCTATGGCACACAGCATATTTTTCTTGCTAGCTATAATGCGTTATAAAAAATGTAAATATATATGTATGTCTAGGAATTGCAAAATATATATGTATGTCTAACAATTAGAATTAATTAATTCTAGCATGAAAAATGCATAGGATGCCTAAAAAATAACTTTACAAAATTATACACAATACATTATAAGGTTTTTTTAATGAAAAAATACATTTTGATTTATGAAATTAAGTGAACAGCAAAGATACAATAATATAAAGTTTTTGTTCTAAATTTATATAAATTATAAAGTACTCTAAAAATATGTATATAAAAAAATAGTACAACTTAGTGTTAAAGTTTGTTCGGATTGGCTTATAATACTAAAAGTAATTTCATATAAAATATTCATATAGATACATATGTTATATATATCCATATTATCTTACATTAACAATAGTAGGCAATATTGGGCATCTTAAATATATCCTTATATACATGATCATGTTCCTAGATATATCATTTATTTAAAAGACATGGATGTTAAAAATGCTCTTCACTTTGACTCACAATCAAATAAATCATAGATGATTTATTTGTATTATATTTATTTATATTATATTTATATTATATTATATTTATATATTTATAACTTTATGCATTAAAAAAATTTTTACATTAAACTTATATGCATATAATACCTGAATATAATATAAATAAATATTTCCATCATTTCTTTCTTAGTACAGACATGTATAAGACTGATTCCATTCTTTTATATATTAATGTTCTATAAATATTCTTCCCAAAAAATTATTTTTCATAAAAAATACGAAAAATGCGAGAATGTTATTTACATGATAACAAATTATCATATTTATATCAATGCTATAAAATACTTCTTCAAAATTATCCTAACAATCGTTTCAATCAGGAAGAGTGATAGTTCGCAAAGAGTCTTCGGGAAAAGTTGCTATTTCCGCGACAGTGCTGAAATTAAAGGGAACTGCTATTCCACCATCAAGAACTAAACCTCCATCAAAACACTCTGATCTTATGGTGATCCTTTTACAAAAACCACGAGGATATATGCGCTTTGGAACGGACACTGCATCAGTCATTATCATATCTCTTATCGAATAACATAGTATGGAATCCTCTGTAAATATTTTTATACAATGAATCCTTTAGAATTTTGTTATATAATCTCGTAAGTCGAACATTTTTATAAAATAATAATAATAATAATAATAATAATAATAATTACCGCACAATTATCTTTTGTAACATCCTTTCTTCCTTCTTTCACTTTATTTTAAACTCTTTGTCTTCTTTATTTCCTCCTTTCTTTCTTTAAAACATTAACTAAAAATAAAATATATAACACAAAGTATCAATTTTTTATAATATATAAAGTATTAATTAAATATCAAAAACACAAGTTCTATTAGAAACGTTATCTGAACTTATCTGATGAAGTAATCTTGAACACGTCCAAGGAGAAAAGAGAAACCTTTACCTTGATTTTTAACATAATCTTTCACTTAACCCGGCTGTTACTAATAACCTTCGATTTACATAACTGTCAAAACGCGCGATCTTCGCTGCGACGACAGTTGCTCACGAAGTAAGCCCAACGAAAGAACCAATCAGCATCGCGGAAAAGCGACAACAATACTTTCGAGATATGCGAGAATCGATGTCATGCACTTTTTCAGATAGGACTAGATCGTCGCGCGCGCTTCGCGCGCGCCAATGCGATTATCTTATTTCGATATTTTACAGCATATAATTTGTATATTATTGCAAAACTAAAACTTATCTATTTTAATATATAATTCCTACCTCTTCCAATATTTCTCTTCTTTTTCTTTCTCATTTACTTTCTTCTCCTCTTTTACTCTTTCTCCATTTTTTTATACATTCTATTGTATATTTTCTTTTTCGATTTTCTTGCTTTCTCCTCATACTTGATCTCCATTTTCAATGCTCTCATTTTTATTTCTTTCATTTTCGTCTCTTCCATTATTATGTAATTTGGCGTTCTTCTGTCCAATCTTCTGTCTAATCTCCATTTCACATATTTCCTCTTTATTTTGTCTAGTTTTTCTTCCATCTTCCATATCCAGATCTCTGCTCCACATAATATGCTATGCTTGCTATTAAGGTTTCAAACATCTTCATTCATCTTCTCCTGTTTAAAATCCTGTTTAAATAACCTTTCTCCTACGCTCTATGTCATCTTTATTGCTATCGTTGCCTTTCTCATCTTCTCTATTATGTGTTTCTATGATCCTCCATTTTTTTACATATTTTATTTTTTTTTTACAGCATATAATTTGTATATTATTGCAAAACTGAAATTTTATATTTTGATCTATGTATTATTATATATATACATGAGCAAATAAATATTTTTATTAATATTATGTTTTACATCTGTTGATACTCACTGTATCTGCTTTACTTTAAAACGTTAATTAAATTTTATTCCTCTATTTGTTAAATTATCATCTTAAATATAATTTTTATATATTACAATTGTAAATCTAAAAACTTATGTATATTTTAATGTATATTATTTATATCATGAATATAAACAAATATTCTTATCAATATTATAATTTATACCTTACTATTATATATATGTTAAATTCTTTATTTAAAATTTAATATTTTTTATAAAAAATTAATTTTTTTAACATTCTGATTTTAATTGTATATAACATGCACATATAAAGTTTGTATCATTATATTCTTTTTTTTCTATTAATTTTACAAATACTACAATATCATGTGTTATAAATATTTAATTAAATAATATTTAATATAATTTTAAATTAATTTATGTTTAATTTTAAAATACTTTTGTTATTTTCTTTTAGATATTTTTATATTAAATATTGAATTCTAACTTATTGTTTCAATAATTTTTCTTGTCATATATGTACAAAATAAATTATTTTCTATTATTTTATTTGACAATTACTTTTGTAAAAGTAATTCGACAATTACTATTGTAAAAATGCATCCTCAGAGTTATGCTTGAAGAAATATGGAATAATCCATTTTCAAAAAGCATTTTTCATCACAGAATGCACTTTCGAAGAAATAAAAATATATAAAACATATTATATTATAATATATTAAAATTTATATCTGTTTGTAATGATAAATATATCATTACAATGTTTGTAATTGTAAATATATAACATATAATATAAAATTAAAAAATTGTAAATATGTATATATAATATAAAATTTACTATTATAATTTATTTAAAGTAATTATAATTTACACTGTAAAATACCAGCATTCTTATTGAAATATTTCTGTATATACATAATTTTTAACCAATCTACTTTGTTTTTCTTGTC